CTGATAGAGAATTTAAAGTAACGGTCATAAAGATACTAACTGGAATTGTGAAAAGAGTGGAGGACCTCGGTGAAACCCTCAACAAAGAGATAGAAAACATAAAAATAAACCAATCCATGATGAAGAACTCAACTGAAATTAAAAATAAGTAGTAGACAAGAGGAAGAGAAGAATGGATCAGCAACATGAAGGAGAGAATAATGGAAAGCAATTAAGCCAAACAGGAGAAAGGAAAAAGAATAATAAAAAATGAAAATAAACTAAGGGAACTCAGCAACACCATCAAGCATAATAATATTCACGTAATAGGGATCCCAGAAAAGAGAGAAAAAAAGGGCAGAAAATTTATCTGAAGAAACAATAGCTGATTTCAAGATATACTACAAAGCTGTAGTAACCAAAACAGTATAAAATCAGACACATAGTTCAATGGAAGTGAATAGAAAACCCAGAAATAAACCCAAAATTATATGGTCAATTAATCTATGACAAAGGAGGCAAGAATATCCAATGGGTGAAAGACAGTCTCTTCAACAAATGGTGTTGGGGAAACTGCACAGCTACATGCAAAAAAATGAAACTGGACCACTTTCTTACACCATACACAAAAATAAACTCAAAATGAATTAAAGACCTACAAGTGAGACCTGAAACCATGAAAATGCTCGAAGAGAGCACACATAGTAATTTCTATCACATTGGCCATACCAACATTTTTCTTTATATGTCTCCTGAGAGAAGAGAAACAAAAGCAAAAATAAACTATTGGAACTACTTCAAAGTCAGAAGCTTCTACACAGCAAAGGAAACAATCCACAAAACTAAAAGACAGTCTACTCACCAGAAACTCACTAGAGTGAGTGACATTTGCAAATGACATTCCTGATAAAGGGCTAGTATCAAAATATATAAAGAACTGATACAACTCAACACCCAAAATACAAATAATCCAACTAAAAATTGGGCAGAAGACATTAGCAGACATTTCTCCAAAGAAGACATACAGATGCCAATAGACACATGAAAAAATGTTCTACATCACAGGTCATCAGGGAAATGCAAATTGAAACCATAATGAGATATCACAGTGAGGTATCACCTCACACCTATCAGAATGGCTAAATCAGAAACACAATAAACAAGTGTTAGCGAGGATGTAGAGACAAAGGAACCCTCATGCATGTTTGGAATGCACACTGGTGCAGCCACTGTGGAGAACAGTATGAAGTTTCCTCAGAAAACTAGAAATAGGGGCGCCAGGGTGGCTCAGTCGTTAAGCGTCTGCCTTCAGCTCAGGTCACGATCCCAGGGTCCTGGGGTCGAGCCCTGCGTTGGGCTCCCTGTTTAATGGGAGACCTGCTTCTCCTTCTCCCACTCCCCCTGCTTGTGTTCCCTCTCTCGCTGTGTCTCTCTCTGTCAAATAAATAAATAAAATCTTTAAAAAAAAAAACCAACTAGAAATAGAATTACCATATGATCCAGTAATTCCACAGAGTATTTACAGAAAGAATATGAAATTACTAATTTGAAAAGATATATGCAGCATTTTTATTGCAGCATTATTTACAATAGCATGGATATGGAAGCAACCCAAGTGTCCATCAATAGATGAATGGATGAAGATGTGGTGTGTATATATACAATGGAATATTATTCGGCAATAAAAAGGAATGAAATCTTGCCATTTGCAACAACATGGATGGATCTAAAGGGTATAATGCTAAGTGAAGTAGTCAAAGAAAAACAAATATATGATTTCATTCATGTGTGGAATTTAAGAAATGAAACAAAGAAAAAAGAGACAAGAAAACACTCTTAAATATAGAGAACAAACTGATAGTTACCAGAGGTGGGTGGGGAGATGGGTGAAATAGGTGAAGGGGATTAAGACTACACTTAATTGGATGAGCATGGAGTAATGTATAGAATTGTTGAATCACTATATTGTATACCTAAAACTAATGTAACATTCTATGTTAATTATAGTGGAATTAAAAAAGAAAAAACAGGAAAAAGAAAAGAAACCCCAGGGAACTCACCACACGGTAGTTCCTCAAGTCCACAGAATCCAAATCAATTGACCTTCTTGCTTCAGGCATTCAAAGTAATTTTATTGTATGATAGGTAATTTCCAGGGTTTTTGGTTTGTGATAGAGATTTTAAATTTTCCTTTAAAAATGAACTTCAGGGGCGCCTGGGTGGCTCAGTTGGTTAAACGTCTGACTCTTGGTTTTGGCTCAGGTCATGATCCCAGGGTCTTGAGATCAAGCCCCTCATCAGGCTCCAAACTTAAGGCAGAGTCTGCTTGAGATTCTCTCCCTCTCCTCCCTCTGCCCCTCCCTCTACGTGTGTTCTCTCTCTCTAAAATAAATAAAATCTTTAAAAAATTTTTAAAAAATGAACTTTAGACTGTGCATTTTCTATGATATTTGCTTTGATTTCTTTAAAGAAGGGGAAGATCCTAAAGACTGTGTGTGTGGAGTACTTCATTTTTATGTCACCATCACCAATCTTTTTCTCGTAGCATTTTTTTTTTTTTTTTTTGCTTTTTCTTAAATGATTGCCATTATGTGATCTTTCCAAAACAGTTAGTTTACTGGAACAGTTTTCATATTCATTTCATCTATTGGTATAAACAGGGAGGGGAACAAATACAGCTGACTTCTGGCAGGCATACAACTTGGCTGTTGGGATCATCTTGGATACGTGTAGCCAAGTAACTAGTACCACTGATCTTGCTGGATCCTGTCATAATGTATTCCAGGGAGAATGGAATGTTTTATTTAATCTGAGGAGTCTATCTGGTGATTTAGTTAGGAATTGTTATGTGACCAATGCCATGCAAGCTATCTGTATGCTTTTCCCTGGTCTCTTCCCCTGCTACATCTCTAAAGGTAACCATTATCTTGAATTGTATTATGATTATTTCATTTTTAAAAATAGCTTATGACACTTGTGTATGCCCTTACATGCTATTTGTTGTGTTTTGCTTAGTTTTAAGTTTATAAAAATGATAATGAGATGTGTTTTTTGTGATTTGGTTATTTTGTACCATATGGTTTATAATAATTTTCCCATATTGTTTTATGCCTGAGTTCATTTTCATAGCTGTATAATATTTCATTCCACAGATTTCTGGTTGTTATAATTTGGGTTTGTAATTTTGGGCTAGTATGCACAATGGTGCAATGAATATTCTTACATGTCTCCTGAAGCACATAATACAAGATTTTCTCCAGGCTATGTACTATTGGAATTGCTGGATCATAGAACATGTTCATCTTCAACTTTATGTTACACCAGATTGTTTTCCTGAGTGTTGGTAGTAATTTACATTACCACTGCAATGTTTAATAATTTTGGTGATTCAACATCTTAACAATGAGTGAAATTCTTAGATATTTTGAGTTTTACCAATCTCAGTATGAAATGGTATCACATTATATCTTAATTTGAATGTCCTTGATTTCTAGTGAGTTTGAGCATCTTTGCATATGATTGTTTAGCATTAGTGTTTCTCCTTTTGTGAAATGTCTAAACAGATCTTTTGCCCATTTTTCTTTTAGCTTTATCTTTTTTCTAGTTAGCCTGTTTGTGTCTTGTTTGAGAAATCCATTCTACCTTTAGGTGTGCTTTATATATATCCGTATTTTTTCCCATAAACTTTACAATTTTTCCTTCAACTTGTGGGTCTTTAATGCAGTTAGAGTTTATGTATTTATGGTGTATGGTAGGGAACCAGAGTAATTTTTTTATATCTATAGCTAGTTGTTCTAATATCATTTATTAAATTATTCTTTCATCACTGATCTGTAATGCTTTCTATGTCGGTCTGCTTCTGGTCTTTCCATGAGTCAGGCCCTATATGAATACTACATTGTCTTAATTTTTAAGTCTTTGTGATGTCTTTATCATAGGCATTGTAAAGTCTCTGACTCTGATCTTTTTCAGTAGTGTTCTGGCTATTCTTAAATGTTTGTTTTTCCAATATATTTTTGAATTAGTTTTTCAAGTTCTTCAAACAACATTGTAGGAATTTTATTAGACTTGTATTGAATACAAGATAAAAGCTAGAAGTATATACATAAAAGTATACAATAGAGTGAAAAGGCAACCTCTGGAATAGGAGAAAACATTTATAAATCATATAACTGACAAAGGGTTAATATCCAGAATATATAAAGAAATCCTACAACTCAATATCAAAGAAACCAAGCAGCTCAATTTAAAAAAGGGGGAAAGGATTTTTAATACAGATTTCTCCACAGATGATATACAAGTAGCCAGTAAGCACATGAGAAGATGCTTAACATCACTAGCCATTAGGGAAATGCAAATCAAAACCACAATGAAATCTCACTTCACATCCATTAGTATGTTTACTATGAAAAACCAAGGGGTTAAAGGTCTCCCTTTGGCTTGGGTCATGATCCCAGGGTCCTAGGATCAAGCCCTGCATCAGGCTCCCTGCTCAGTGGAGAGCCTGCTTCTCCCTCTCCCTCTGCTGCTCCCCCTGCTTGTGCTCATTCTCTCTCTCTGTCAAATAAGTAAAATCTTAAAAGAAAAGAAAAATAGGGCGCCTGGGTGGCTCAGTTGGTTAAGCGACTGCTTTCGGCTCAGGTCATGATCCTGGAGTCCCTGGATCGAGTCCCGCATCGGGCTCCCTGCTCGGCAGGGAGCCTGCTTCTCCCTCTGACCCTCCCCCCTCTCATGTGCTCTCTCTCTCTCATTCTCTCTGTCTCAAATAAATAAATAAAATCTTAAAAAAAAAAGAAAAAAAAATAACAAAGTAACAAGTGTTGGTGAGGATGTGGAGAAATTGGAACCTTTGTGTTGGTGGGAGTGTAAAATGGTGTAGCCATTGTGGGAAACAGTATGATGGTTCCTCAAAAACTTAAAAAGAGAATTACCGTATGATCTAGCAATTCTAACTCTGGATATATACCCAAAAGAATTGAAAGCAGCAATCTAAACAGATGTTTGTACCCCCATGTTCTTAGCAGCATTATACACAAGAGCCAAAGGGTGGAAGCAACCTAGGTGTCCATCAACAGGTGAGTGGATAAACAAAATGTGTGTGTCTATATGTATGTATGCATATGTATACAGTGTAATGTTATTCAGTCTTAAAAAGGAAGTAATTCTGACACATGCTATAACATGGATGAACATGTTGAGGACATTATGCTCAGTGAAATAAACCAGTCACAAAAAGACAAACACTGTATGAGTCCACTGATATGAAGTATCTAGAGTAGTCAAATCCATAGAAACAGAAGTAGAATGATGGATGTCAGGAACTGGGGGAGGAAGGAATGGGGAGGAGTTATTAATGAGTGCAGAGTTTCAGTTGAAAAAGTCCTGGAGATTGGTTGTGCAAAAATGTGAACATACTTAACACTGCTGAACTGTACACTTAAAATTGTTAAGATGGTAAATTTTATGTTACATGTATTTTGCCACAATTTTTTTAAAAAGTCAGCATTATCAATTTAAGACTTAGGAGTATATGACTGGAATTTAAGTGAGACCTGTTATAGGCAAAGAGTATAGATTGATGGCTAGCCAGAGCCTGGGTTTCAGGACATTCCAATATTTAGAGGTCAGGTAGTAGAAGAGGATGCATTAAGGGGAACTGAGTACAAGTACAAAGGTAGAAGGATAAACAGAAGAATATGGTATATAGGAAGCAAAGGGACTGATCATTTGTGTCAAATGCTGCTAATGAGTCGAGTAGAGTAATGACTAGCACTAGAGCACTGATTTTGGCAAAGTGATTTTATTAGTGACTTTAGAAATATTTCAACATAGGTATGGGAGTTGAAATATTTATTTCAGAGGATTACAGAGAAAGACATGCAGAGGATGGTCTTAATAAATGGTGTGAGCCAACTGGATGACTACATCAGAAGCTAGGTATCTTGAGTTCTATCTCACATCATAAAATCTAATTTAGGTGGGGCGCCTGGGTGGCTCAGATGGTTAAGCGTCTGCCTTCGGCTCAGGTCATGATCCCAGGGTCCTGGGATCGAGCCCCGCATCAGGCTCCTGGCTCAGCGAGGAGCCTGCTTCTCCCTCTCCCTCTGCCTCTCTCCCTGCTCATGCTCTCTCTCTCTCTCTATCTCTGTGTCTCAAATGAATAAATAAAATCTTAAAATTTAAAATCTAATTTAGGTAGGTTATAGGTCTAAATATGAAAGGCAAAATAGAAAACAATATGAGTATATTTTCATGACCTTGGGATTAGACTGCCTTAAAATTAGGAACTTCTATTCATCAAAACATTAAGAGAGTGAAAATGCCAGGCTGAGTAAGATATTTGCAATATGTTGGTTATATTCAGACTACATTAAGAATTTCTACAAAGAAAAAAGAACAGTACAACCCAGGAACTACCCAAATGACACTCGACTTATGAATGGATAAATAATAAGTGGTATATTTGTACAATGGAATATTATTCAGCCATTAAAAAAGAAATGAAGTACTGATACATATTACAAAAGGGTTGATCCTTGAAAACATTGTAGTCAGTGAAAAAAGACACAAAAGGTTACATATTGTATGATTCCATTTGTATGAAATTTCCAGAATAGACAAATTTATAGAGATGCAAAGCAGATTAGTGGTTGCCAGGAGCTGAGGGGAAGAGGAAATGACTATGGATATGTGGTTTCTTTTTGGCATGATGAGAATGTTCTGGAATTAGATAGTGATCTGATGGTTGAACAACATTGAGAATGTATTAAAAGTTACTGAATTGTATACTTCCAGATGTTTAAACTGGTAGATTTTATGTTATATGAATTTTACCATACACACAAAATCACTAAGAATGGACAAAAGACCTGAGTTGGCAGTTTATTAAAAAAGATATCCAGTTGGCCAATAAACATATGAAAAAGGCTCAACCTGACTTGCCATCAGGGAAATTGCAAATTAAACCACAACGCAGTATCATAACATATCTGCTAGGATGCCTGAATGTAAGATTGACAATAACAAGTGTTGGTGAGGATGTGAGGAACGGGAACTCTTTTACAATTTGATGAGAAAATGAGGAAACTATTGGAAAGTGTCAGTGAACTCTGAACAAATGCATATCCCATGATGCAACAGTTTCACTCCTAAAGGTATACATTTAGCAGAAAGGAGTCCTATTTCCACCTAAAGAAATGTACAGGAATGTTCATAGCAGTACTAATCATAATAGCCAACAATTGAAAACAGCCCAAACGTCCATCACTAGGAAAATGGGAAAATAAATTGTGTTAGAATAGGATGCTTTATACAGCTGTCAGTCTTAAACTTCTTCTTCTGAAACAGCCTCTGAAAAGCTCTAAGATAAGAAAGACTTTGGAATGTCCTAATTGTTGAAAGGAGGTTAGTGTTGTAGCACACCAATAAAATGGAAATGGACTCTAAGTGAGGCCTTATTAGTACACAGAGGGCCTTGTGTTCTCATAATAAAGAATTGGATTTTTAAATTTCAGTTCAATAGAAAGCTACTTTAATTTGGTTATAGGTTTGGCTGCATGTGACAGAAACTCAAAAATAATAATGGCTTAAACTATATAGAAGGTTAGTTTTCTCTTGCATTGAAGTCCAGGCTGGAGTGGAAGTTCTGCTCTGCAAAACCATTATGTGACATGACACCACATCCACATTGCAGTCTGAGGAAATGGAAGAATAAAGGATATAGGACAGGGGCCAGCTGGCTTTTAACATCTCAGAAACTACTATATAATACTTATGCATTTTTTAAGGCAGAATTCAGTTACATCGCATATTCTGCAAAAGAGCCTGGGAAATGCAGTGTTTTATATTGGACAGCGTTCTCAACTAAAAACCATGGGTTCAATCAATATACAATATACATTTGGGGGTAATTAGTAGTCTCCATATCATAATCCTTTGGCCTGGTGGAAAGTGTTAAACATATACTTGTAGATTCTAATTCAGTTGATCTCATTCTAAAACTGACTCTGGTAGATACTGATTCATTTGATCTAGAATGTTTCCTAAACATCCATAATTGCAACAAATTCTGAGGTAGATCAAAATTTCAGAACCATTGGGGTGCCTGGCTGTCTCAGTTTGACTCCTGGTCTCAGGGTTGTGGGTTCAAGCCCCATGTTGGGTGTAGAGATTGCCTAAAAATAAAATCTTCAAAAAAAATTTCAGAACCACTGACTTGACTTGTTAATTAACTCCCTCACTTTCTCCTATGAGCTCTCATTTCTCTATGTTCTCCTTACCCTTTTTTTCATTCAGTTGCATGATGGTATTTAAGAGCTCTCCAAGCCTTTCATCTCTTGTGTGAATTATTTTTCAGTTATCTCTCTGTTCTACCATAGATATTTTATTTGTTTTCTAACACAAAGCCAGCAATTAAAATGTGTTTCTTATCTTTCAGACTTGGTGTCCAGGTGTGAGGCCAAGAAGTTATCTCCAAAAAGAGACATTTATGAGACAGAGACATCCCGATGGGCTATCATGGAACAATTTAAAAGTCATAATCCTGAGAAGTCCATTTTGAGAGATATTTGGGAATGCAGTAGTCAGTTTGAGATACAACAGGAACAGGAGGCCTATTTTAGGCAATTTGTTATCAACCATGAACACATGCCTATATTTAACCAACATACTTTACTCACTCAGGAATTTTATAATAGAGAGAAAAATGTTGAGTGTAAAGAATGTAGAAAAATCTTCAGTTACCATTTATTTTTTAGTCATCACAAAAGAACTCATTCTAAAGAAAAACTTTCTGAATGTAAGGAATGTGCAGAAACTGTTAATACATCATATCTTACTAAACAGAGAATTCAAAATAGTAGCAAGTGCAATGAATGTAAGGAATGTTGGAGGGCTTTTATTCATTGTTCACAACTTAAACAACACCTGAGAATCCATAATGGTGAAAAACGCTATGAATGTAAAGAATGTGGAAAGGCCTTTAATTACGGCTCAGAACTTATTCTGCATCAGAGAATTCACACTGGTGAAAAACCCTATGAATGTAAGGAATGTGGGAAGGCCTTTAGGCAGCGATCACAGCTAACTCAACATCAGAGACTTCACACTGGTGAAAAACCTTATGAATGTAAGCAATGTGGGAAGGCTTTTATTCGTGGCTTTCAACTTACTGAACATCTTCGACTCCATACTGGTGAGAAACCCTATGAATGTAAAGAATGTGGAAAGACGTTTAGGCATCGCTCACACCTTACCATACATCAGAGAATTCATACTGGTGAGAAACCCTACAAGTGTAGAGAATGTGGAAAGGCCTTTAGCTATCACTCAAGCTTCTCTCACCATCAGAAAATTCATTCTGGCAAAAAACCTTATGAATGTAATGAATGTGGGAAGGCCTTTTGTGATGGCTTACAACTTACTCTACATCGGAGGATTCATACTGGTGAGAAACCCTATGAGTGCAAGGAATGCGGGAAGACTTTTAGACAGTGCTCACACCTCAAAAGACATCAGAGAATTCATACTGGTGAGAAACCTCATGAATGTATGATATGTGGTAAGGCCTTTAGACTTCATTCACACCTTATTCAACATCAGAGAATACATACTGGTGAGAAGCCCTATGAATGTAAGGAATGTGGGAAGGCCTTTAGCTATCATTCAAGCTTCTCACACCATCAGAGAATTCATTCTGGGAAGAAACCTTATGAGTGTGGGAAGGCCTTTAATCATGGCTTGCAATTTAATCTACATCAGGCACTTCATACTGTTGAGATGCCAGTAAGATTTCCTCTCCTCTCTCCCCATCCTACTCTAGCATCATGATAATATTTTTAGAAATACAGGTTTTCCTTTTTGTTTTCAAGGTAAAAGTTGGTAAAATACTGAATTTCATTAATACTGATTTATTTCAGTAATCCTTGGGGAAAAAAAAAACTTCAAGCGGGAAAATGGAAAAGTAATTAACAGGTAAAATTTTTTAATTGCTCTGGTTCCAGTGCTGTTTCTGGGTTGTTATAACACCCATGGAGATAAATTTTATAAAACAGTGTTTTTACTGAAACTAGTGAAATGTGGCAGAAATAAAATGAAAACAATTTCTTCCCCTTTCACAAATCCCTGAGATAGCCAATATGTGAGTGTTGCTCCATCCTGCTCAAACATACCTGCAAATATGAAGGGTTTATTGCATGTGTGTGGAAGGTTATACCAGTTACAGTGACATATTTCGTGGCAATTTCTTTTTGCACAAATAATTGCAAACATTTTCCCAGGTGAATACATAAAGAGCTAACTCATTTTTTTTTCAAGCCTCAGAATATTTCTAGTATGGGATACGTATCTGTATTTTAAGCCATTTCCTACTGTAGACATTCAGTTTTTTCTGTTTTCATCACAAATGGTCATACAATAAACATTCTTACATTGTCATTCTTTTATTTCCATTATGGAGGGTAGATTACCAGCCATGAGAGTGTATGTATGTTTTGATATTACATTGATTTTTTAATTTTAAAAATTAGGCAATAAAAGCACATGCTACAAAATTCAGAAGTTATCAAGCAAGTAAAGTAAAAATTAAAGCTTCCTTAATATCTGCCACCTGCTTTACTTACACAGGATCAACCACAGCTGTCAATTCTTTTGCATTCTTCCAGGGATTAACTTTTTAAAAAAATTCTTCGGATGAAAGTAGATTAATTATAATCTTTTTTTTTTAAAGATTTTATTTATTTGACAGGCAGAGAGAGAGCACAAGTAGGCAGAGTGGCAGGCAGAGGGAGAGGGAGAAGCAGGCTCCCCACTGAGCAGGGAGCCTGATGCGGGGCTCAATCCCAGGACCCTGGGATCATGACCTGAGCTGAAGGCAGATGCTTAATCGACTGAGCCACCCAGGTGCCCCAGTCATAATCTTTTATTCCTGAAATTCTCATCATTGGTCCAAATTTAGCCCTCTTTCATTTATTTTCAGTATTATCCAGGGATTTATAAACATTGTGCCAACTATAAAGTTACTGCCTTTCTGCTCCTCATCCTTCATTGCCTGCTCTGCAATATTGGAAGTCTCTCCTTTTGTTTATTATTTATTTGAGTCCTCTCTGTCTCTGTGTTTTTGGTTAAGTCAGACAAGCTAGAAGTTTTTCAACTTTGTCTTTTTTTAAAGATTTTATTTATTTATTTGACAGAGACAGAGATAGCGAGAGCAGGAACACAAGCAGCGGGAGTGGGAGAGGGAGAGCAGGCTTCCC